GAGGAGGGGGCGAGCCTGGGCGACGGCAGCGGGGCGGAAGGCGGCAGCTGCAGCAGCAGCAGGCGGTCGGGCGGCGATGGCGGGGACGAAGCGGAGGGCAGCGGCGTGGGAGCTGGCGAGGGAGAGACTGTCCAGCACTTCCCGCTCGCGCGGCCCAAGTCGCTAATGCAGAAGCTCCAGTGCTCCTTCCAGACCTCCTGGCTCAAGGACTTTCCCTGGCTGCGGTATTCCAAGGATACTGGCCTTATGTCTTGCGGCTGGTGCCAAAAGACCCCCGCGGATGGGGGCGGCGCGGACCTGCCCCAGGCGGGGCACGACGAGCTCTCGCGAGGGACCCGCAACTACAAGAAGACCCTTCTCCTGAGGCACCACGTCTCCACGGAGCACAAACTCCACGAAGCCAACGCCCAGGTACGGTTCTGCCCTGCTCCCACTTTTCGAGATCTCGTGGGGGACGGTTTCTCCGCCGGAAAGACCCTCGCTCTCCTGGCCGGGGGGCATCGTTCCGGTCGGGAGGTGCGGGAGATGCTGTGCGAGGGGGTTTGGAAAGCCTGGGAGCAAGTTTTCAGAAGTTGTGTGTGTTGTGGGGGAGGGGGGAGGGGACGACACGTTTCTCATCGTAGCGCTGAATTTTGCTCTTCGCTTTTTTTTTTTTTCCCTTTTTCTGATGACTCAGATTTTTCTGCTTATCAGATTGAATCTGAAAGAAAGTGAGGTCGAAGGCTTTAACCTAAAAGGTTGCCTTTGCGGTCAAAATTTTATTAGCTGTGATTTTAGAGAAGCTGCTTTATGTTCGTAGACGTTTAGTGTGCTGCTGGAAGTCAAATCTGGCAACTCTTTGAAGAATGGATTAAACAATTTCCTTAACCTTTACGCTTCCCCTTCAGAAAAACGTCCAGCCGAAAAAATTCGTTATCTGGTCAAGATAACGTGAAATAGGAGAGCAGTATTTAAATGTAGAGAAAGCTTTTTAGAGCTCCTTGCTCTTGAGAATACATTATATACTAAATTCATCTCCGAACTCGTTGAGCCTTACCAAGGCTTGCTTTCGGTAAATTATTGTAGTGTTTGCTTCTTTACTGCTACCCAGATTTCTGTGCTAAGGTTTTTTTTTTATATTGTCCCTTTTCCAAAAGTGTCTTGCAAATGCAGTTTACGTTAAGTACTTTAAATTTAGAAATGTTCACTGCGAAGGTACTTGTATCAAGTAGTTGATTTGGACTGGTAGAGAATTTCTTTGCCAGACTCCCTGAAAATTTTAAGTCTTTAATAACAGGTAAGCTGTACTTTAATTCATAGTCCTTTATTTAACTTTTCTTACTAAGATAGTAAGCCTTACCTTTTTGATACCTCATTTCAAGCCAAACAGATGTTGATTAGTCCTCCTTTTTAGACTTTCAGACCACCTGCGGTGGTGGATGGAATTCATTCTTTTGTATTGGTAGCCAGTCGTTGATTTTAGAAAGTTAGCTCTCGATATTAAAGTCTTTGTTTATTGGAATGATCCTACCATTTAGCACACGTATACTGTGGTTAATTAGGCACACCAGTAACCCCAGACACAGCCTCGGTTCATAAGTTAGGACTTTAACTTTAAAACCCAGAATGAATTTTTTCCCCTCTGCAGTGAACAATGTAATTGTTGCCCCCCCCCACAAATTTTAGTTGCCTTAGCTCTAGAAGAAAGGTTCCTTAAAGATACAAGGCCCAAAAAGATTAAGTAAATTATACTTAGTCTTAAAGAGTGAAATGACAACTGAGACTACAGCCTCTTAGGAATGCTGAAATGGAAAAAGAATGGGTTTGGTATAAACCTGGGCTCAGATCTGAGCTCTTCCCAGTTATTAGCTTCGTGAGCTTGGACAGTCGAGGTAACATTTCCTTGTCCTTTCCTCGTGCCAAATACACATTTAATTTACTATGCAGAGTATTTTTATTCCCGTTTTACAGAAAAGGACCCCAAGGCTTTCAAGGGATTAAGTAACGTTCCGGTAGTTATGTAGTAATAAGATAATGGAGGTGTGGGGGACTTGTGAAAATGAAAGTTTAATTTTCCAAAATATGGTAGGTTGTTTATTTAGGAAAAATTTTTAAATTGGAATGAATTTTCTTAATATACCGTGGACCGGGTACTACTCTTAACAGTATAGTCTCTCCCTGTTGGCAAATCTGAATGGGAATGCAAATTATAATTAGCTGCTAAGTGAACCTGAAATCAGAGGAAGAGGAATTAGTTGGATAACCTTATGGTGGATTTAGCTTGGGTGTATCCTCCCCTGGGCATATATCCAGATCATGGAATTTCTAGGTAAAACCTTTCTAACCTTGGCCAGGAACTATCCCTCCCATCACCTTTTACCCCCTTGAAATTCCCTTTAATATAATCTGCAGGTCATCTCCTTTTTTTCCAAAAGCATTTTCTCTCATTAGCTTTGAGGACAATATGATTTAGTAAGTCCAATGGGTCTTAAGGCTATTTATTAGCCTCCACTGATTGGATTGTGGGTGTTTTTTTAAATAACTGAATTGATCCTAATCATTTCTGTAGTTTTATTCTAATTAACCTTAACTAGCTTGAGGAAATATCTTGCTATGACCCCAGGTACCACCTCTAATTCTTTTTCTTAATATAAGTGACAGGTTTCTGATGTTTTATTCTTTTGGGCAGTTTTTGTGTTGCCCTGCAGCCTCTGATTACCTGTAGGAGGCAGTATAACACAGGCTGTAAGAACATTCTTGGACTTAAGGTCACTGGGACTTGAGTCTTAATCTTCTCTTTTGTTGGAAGGAAAATTAGTTAACTTCTAGTTTCCTTGTGTGTGCACAATATATGCCTGCACAGAATAACGTAGTAAATAATTTCCATTATTATTACTTGATTGCTGATTACTATCTAAAAAAATGCTTCCTGTGGCTTGGTACCTCACATCTCAGTGCCACTAATCTTGTCAGTTTTGAAGCTGCTTTGATGAAACACTTGATTTTAAAGCACAAATCAGTTCTTTGTATACCTCCAGAGACTTTGGCTGTCAGATTCTTTGAACATTCTGTGCTTATTTCTCATACATGGAGTTTGTCTCAGATAATATATTTTGTCTTAAAAACAAAAAATAAAAGTTCTGGGGTTCTTCAGCATTCAGTTTGAGACTAGAGGTACTTCACTTGCTCTATTTTCTCCATTGTTTGAATTTTCCTTTTTTTTTTGAGTTGGAGTCTCACTCTGTCACCCAGACTGGAGTGCAGGCCGCTCCCGGCCACCACAGCCTTGACCTGCTGGGCTCCGGCGATCCTTCCGCCTCAGCCTTCCAAGAAGCTGGAACTACAGGCACACGCCACTACGCTCGGCTAATTTTTGATTTACTGTAAAGATGAGGTCTTGCCAAGTTGCCCAGGCTGGTCTCGAACCCATGGGGCTCAGGCAATCCACTCACCTCAGCCTCCCAAAGGTGCGGGATTACAGGCTGAGCCACCAAGCCCGGCTTGAATTTTCCTTTTAAAGAGTGCTGTTTTTGAAAGTGGTTTGACCCAAGTCTTGGTGTGATTATGTGCCCCATAACGTTTCCACCAACCACATATATGGTCCCATATGAGTATAGTGGAGTTGAAAATGCCTATCACTTAGTGAGGTAAAGTCATAGCATACTTTATTTTTAAAAATTTAAGTATCTTAAGTGTACAGTAATGTCTAGGCCTTCACATTTGCTCACCACTCACTGACTCACCTAGAGCAACTTCCAGTCCTGCAAGCTCCATTCATGGTAGGCGCCCTATACAGCTGTGCCATTTTTATACCATATTTTACTGTACCTTTTTT